CAAACAACAGCACTCTATATGTATGTACTGTACAGTGGTCTCTTGCTATAATGCGGTTCACCTTTTGCGGTAGTTTTTTTCACCTTTTTTCTCGTAGTTTAAAAAAAAAAATTGTGCAATTTTACTGTTTTTGTTGTGTTTTTACAGTGCGTTGTGTTCTGCATCCTCATTGGCTATAGACCATTTGTCAGTCAATCTCCCCTGTACATTACAGAATGCGCTCAGCTTGCCAAATTAACATAAATTGCTGATTACTAGCATTGTGAGCTCCAAAAAGCATGCTAAAAGGGTTTAAATGTAAGCCATGCATTTTAGAATTGTAAACATAGAGTTTACAATGGTTTAATATAGTTTATCAGGATTCCCAGCTATGACTCAGGACACTGTTCATATTTCTGCAACACCACAGAGCGCCATCTGAATAATTTCATTTTAAAATAACATGCTAATGTGCACATCTGTGTGTGTTGTTTCCAACTGTCATGTTCGCAGGGTATCCAGTCTATGACCCCTTTAAGGATGGAGTCTACTTTAGTTGATAAAGTGTGTAGTGAGGGGTTTTACAGCCTTAAAACATCTAGAATAATTGAAAAAACATAAAGTTGACTACTTCGTAGAATTTGACTATTGCAGGTTATTTTTAGAACATAACTCGAGCAAATTCAACATTGAGCAATTCTGAGAGTGCTTCACGCAGGTGAGTGGGCCTGACAAACCAACTGTAGGACACACTCTCTACTCTCTGTAAGCTTAGAAAAAAAAAATTCTAACAGACTTGTCTGTGCATTTAAATACTACTGCGCTGATGATTTCAAGTGTTTCTTTTATCCGCACTTGTAATCGTTTTGAATACAAGGATTTACTAAACGCAAAAATAGAAATGGTAAAGGTTCAGTATTTCTTGATTAATTTAAATTTTAAAAAATACAGCATTATTATTTATTTATTATTTTCTCATGATCTAGCGAGGCACTTTAAGGTCAACTCAACAGTCAATGAACGTGAGCAAGGCAGCTGCTTTTATCCCCTTTGAAGATTAGTTGAACTTGAACTTTGGGATGGTCTGCAGCCATATGATGTGAAGCTTTATACTCACAAAAAGAGCCTGCGAAGGTGAAAGCCGATGATCAATGAAGGTAAATACTGAAGGGAGAGATTAATCCTACATATGAAAGATTCCCCTCATTCCTGGAGCCTTAGCGCGCTGCAGCTGGCAGTGATTATAGCATGATTCACTTTAGCTGCACATAGAGGCTGCTTGTAAAAATATGAACAGTATAACTGTTTCCTGAGCCTGTGCTGACAGCAGATCCCAGGGGGAAACACTGCCGCCGTGCTCTCGCAGAAACACATGACCGCACATCAAATCACAGCCAGCGACTAGATCCCCACCGCTTTCATGCAAACGAACACCAGCTAGCCCGCTAACGCTAATTCCTAAAACTTATATTGTGAAATATGTTGCACTGGCTTTGAGGACATATGGCTATGTGAGGAGAGCCCTGTGACTCATGGGGTTACATCCGAGCACAGTTGAGAAAAAAAAAAAAAAAGTTGTAGATTAATTATTTTTATGCACTTGTGATGAAACCGAGTCCTCGGAATGGGAATTTGGCTAACATTGAAAAACGACATAATGGTCTAACAGATGTAACAGCCAAGGAAGTCCTTATCAGATTCTGGGCAAATGAACGATGGGAAATATCACTCCCACACGAGGCCTGAAGCATAAATAAGAAAGAATTATCACGTCACTGGAGGCCAAATTCTGCATTAGCGCTTCGCTAGGACTTAACTCTGTGGATGATAGAACAAAAGGCAATTTAAATGCTATTTATCATGTGCTTGCTTGAATGTACATGCTTTAAAGGTGCGCTTAGTTATCTTTCTTTGTGTAAAAGAAGTTTAACTTATAAACAAAATGTGTATATTTTGCGAAATACTTCTACCAAACTATGAGCTGTGGACACTGAATTACTTTCTTAAGGTAAATGTAATGCTATATGACGTTATATTATAAATGTTTTCCATGGCTGAAACACTGATTGAACGATTAGTTGAGATCATCAATGCATTGCATCAATGCAATGTTTAACTGACCATACTTTTTAATAAGGTTTCATTAGTAAAGGTATTTACTAACATAAACTAAGTATTAGACAGCATTTATTAATCATAGTTCTACATTTACTAATGCATTATTAATATCCAAATTCATGATTGTTAGCATTAATTAATGCATTGTGAGTTAACATGAACTAACGATGACCATGAACAGTTCATGACAGTGACATGAACACTGTAATAAATGCACTCTGAATTTTTTGTTGATGTTAGTAATTTCATTAACTAATGTTAACTGAAGGCTAATTTATACTTGTGAGTCAAGTGCATGCGTATATGACTAAAGTATTATTTTAATAAATACATCTGTTTAATAAATATGTTTTGTTTAAATGCACCAAAACACATTGCCTCTATTCACTAAGAAATGGATAAAATATATTTATTTTCAAAATGGGGTGAACTCAATCATGCTGAGCACTGTAGTTAGTGATTTAATGCATTTTTTTATTCTAGAGCAAAAATTGGTGTATTGCTGGATATTTCTTAACTTTTGTTGCCTCATTAGGTATAGTTTAGTGACAGTATAGCTACATTTAGATGAATACATAAATATGTTCTGCGCATTTTACACATAAACAAAAATATTTACATTACAAGAAAGCACCAATTAAGAAAGGATCTGTATGAAGTATGATGTGGCTCTGTAATTTGGCAGATTCTACAATAAACCAGCTCTGTAGTGTTAATGTCAGAGTTGTGGCTTTAACAGACTGAATAGAAGAAATGGACTAGAGAAGATTTACAATAGGGTTGCCAGGTCTCGCAACAAAACCCACCAACCAAAATAATGCTAGATGGGTCATAACTATGTTTGCCTCATTACCAGGGACGAGAAAGGCTATTAATCATTTCTAAAAAATATAAATAATTGTAGAAATGTTTTGCAGTAACAGTCACTTTTCGCTACATGCATTGTGTTAGCAATGCTAATAACTGTATTAATTCCATATTTTTTCATTCATTTATAGTTCATCAGTGTTTAGGAGTAGACTAGCATATACAGAACCACTTACACTCACCGGCCACTTTATTAGGTACACCTGTCCAGCTGCCTGTTAATGCAAATTTCTAATCAGCCAATCACATGGCAGCAACTCAATGAATTTAGGCATGTAGACATGGTCAAGACAATCTGCTGCAGTTTAAATCGAGCATCAGAATGGGGAAACAAGGGGGTTTAAGTGACTTTGAACGTGGCATGGTTGTTGGTGCCTGACGGGCTGGTCTGAGTATTTCAGAAACTGCTGATCTACAGGGATTTTCATGCACAACCATGTCTAGGGTTTACAGAGAATGGTCTGAAAAAGAGAGAAAATATCCAGTGAGCAGCAGTTCTGCGGGAAAAGCCAGACTGGTTCGAACTGATAGAAAGGCAACAGTAACTCAAATAACCACTCGTTACAACCGAGGTATGCTGAATAGCATCTCTGAATGCACAACATGTCGAACCTTGAGGCAGATGGGCTATAGCAGCAGAAAACCCCACCAGGTGCCACTCCTGTCAGCTAAGAACAGGAAACTGAAGCTACAATTCACACAGGCTCACCAAAATTGGACAATAGAAGATTGGAAAAACGTTGCCTGGTCTAGTACAAATTGAGCATCATGCCAATGCCACAGCCTACCTAAGTATTTTTGCTGACCATGTCCAGCTCTTATGACCACAGTGTGCCCATCCTCTGATGGCTACCTCAAGCAGGATAATGCTCCAATCATCTCAGACTGTTTTTTTGAACATGACAATGAGTTCACTGTACTCAAATGGCAGCCACAGTCACCCGAACTCAATCCAATAGAGCACCTTTGGGATGTGGTGGAATGGGAGATTCGCATCATGGATGTGCTGCCGACAAATCTGCAGCAACTGTGTGATGCTATCATGTCAATGTGGACCAAAATCTCAGAGGAATACTTCCAGTATCTTGTTAAATCTATGCCATGAAGGATTAAGGCAGATCAGAAGGCAAAAGCGGATCCAACCCGGTACTAGTAAGGTGTAACTAATAAAGTGGCCAGTGAGTGTATTTCATGAAGTCTTTAAATAAAATGAAAAGTTTTTAGAATTAATAACAAACAATTGTGAATATGTGTATAAATGTCGATCTTATGTCATCAAGCCCAAGCAGGCATCAAATTGTCCTCTGTCCATCCGCGTATAAGATTACAGCTGTACATGTCCTCATAATATCTCTCCATAACTGTATCACGATGAGCATCTGTTTGTCATACTTGTGTTTAAACAGCCGATTCTTAGAGTTTGTTTTTGTTCTCTCTTCATTTCTGAAATTCAGAATACAAGTCTTTGATGTGTGCACTAAAGACAGAGAGCCTTGACTTAGGGGGGCAGGAACGACTTCACAGGGCCGTTCGGTTGGCACTCCGTGTCTTGCTGGAAGTTGGTTTTGCATATTTGAAGACTTGCTTTTGACAGCTGCATCTAATGGCACTAACAAAGCCTTCATTTGTTCCATTGTGTGCGAGCTATCATAACTTCCCCAGAGCCATCACAGTGTACAGTAAGTCAGGGGCATGTTATGTATAAGTGGCATCTGGAGCGAAGAACGGGCTTGTACTCAATCAAAACCAGGCTCACGACTTTCCATTATAACAAGAATTGGAAAAGGATGAAGCATGTTGGAGTAAATAAAAAATAAATGAATAAAATAAATAAATAATGCTTCACTTGAGGCTGTTTGACTCTTTTCTGAGGTAACCCGTTCTCAGGGTTAAAGGTTGGATGGGGTGAGACTCCACGGTACTTTGAATAGCATCCAGAAAACTCTTTTTATTGTATATGTTATGCTATCTTTCGGCCTGCTTGCTCGTCATCCACTGTTATTATTAATAGTGATCGTTCACCATTTCTCATCCAGGTTATCCGGAGCTTTGCTGTCTCCAGGGATCAGTCTACTGAAGGCCGCTACGTCTCCTCCACCAACACTAGAGAAGCAGAACAACTCCTCCAACCAGCAACACCTCCACACACATCACAAACCCTACAGCACCTTCCACAACCTGCCGTCAAGTGAGGGTACGATATCTTTGTTTGTTTGGCTAAGTTTGCGATTGACAACTGTATTTATTTACACTTGGCCATGTGCACATTGTAAAGTTTCTACAGCATACAAACGAACCACTTTTTTTTTTTTTTTTTTTGAAAAAACATTTTGCAATTCATCCAGAGTTAAAGACTTGAGTTTTACCACTTTTGAGCACCTTTAGCTTAGCTTAGCTTAGCGTCATTGTGTTTAGACAATTAGACCATTCGCATCTCACTCAAAAATGTCAAAAAAGAGTTTCAATATTTTTCACTTTACAGCTTGACACTTCTGTAGTTAATGAAAAACAGTGAAACGTTGCTTTTGATGTGCTATTTTAATGATGTTTATGGCTAGGAAAGATATTCTCATTCCAGCAAAATAATCAAGGAACTTTGTTGTCATGCCATATTATACAGATTCTATGTTTTCTTTCAGGTGCTGTGTAATATTATTGCACCTGCTGCATTTATGGTGTGGCAGAAAAGTTCATTGATAATTATAACAATGATAATAATCATAGTTCTTTGCATTTATAAAGCGCTTATCTGGACCTTCAAAGTGCTGAACACATTGGGGGAATCTCCTTATCCACCACCAGTGGGCAGCTTCCACTTGGATGGCGCAACGGCAGCCATATTGCGCCAGACCGCACACCAATTACTTGCTGATTGGTGTAGAGGAGATACAGTGATGAAGCCAGCTATGATACGGGGATGATTAGGAGGCCATGATAGACAGAGGCCAGTGGGCCAATTTTGGCCAGGATGCCGGAGTTAAACCCCTACTCTATTTCGAAGGACATCCTGGGATATTTTCAATGACCATAGAGAGTCAGGTTTAATGTTTCATTCGAAAGACAGCGCTCATTGAGCAGTACTGAGTCCCCATCAATATACTGGGGTGTTAGGACCCACACAGACCACAGGTTAAGCGCCCCCTGCTGGCCTCACTAACACCACCTCTTTATTTTGGTAGAATGAGAGTACAGTTCCTAGCCATATTGACCTAGAAAATAGCAACTTTTAATTTTCCATAATAATTTTACTTAATAGATGATGTATCTACAAAAGTGTCAAGCTTTAAATAGGAAAATGATAGAAACTCGTGGGTCACTATTGAGCAAGATGGTCTAATCTGATTCAATAATCTTCTAAGCTAAGCTAAAAGTGCTCTTGCCAGAACTGAGAGATCAGCTGAATTGATTCAAAAGTGGTAAAACTCAGCTTTTTAAAGACCTATTGTAGTAAGAGTATAAACAGTTTTGATCATGTTGGTCATTTAGAGGCCTAGAAATGTGCCATATTAATCAGGATATAGTAGGTTTATTGGGCCCAAATGATGACCAGACTTTTCTTGCACTGGTATTTTTTGGCAAGAGCCAAAAATACATTGAATGGTTCAAAATGGCAATTGTTTAATGCTAAAAATTATTATTCTGAAGAACCAAAGAACATGTTTCATGAACATATTTAGTAAATCTTCTTACTGTATAAATGTCCTACTATATAAATATATCTCAAAACTTGTTTTTGATTAATAGTGTGCATCGCAAAGAACTGTATTATACTAGAACTTTATTTAGACAACTTTAAAGGGGATTTTTTAAATTATTTGTTTGAACCCTCTGATCCCAGATTTTCAAAGTATAAATAAATGAAAAGCTTTTTAGTAAGATTTAAGTTGATATCTTTACTTAAAAATGACACTTCCCAGCAGGCATACAACATCATAAGATTTTAATATTAGGTTAGATTTCGGTCGTGACGTCAGGTGACCAAAATTCAATGTCAAGCCAGCATCTAGGCGCAACGTTATTTTGACGTCCAATAACAACGTCAAATGATGTTGATATTTGGTTGATTTTAAGTTGTGTTGGAAAGTGACCAAAATCTTATTGATGTCAAATGCTGACATTTATTCATCAGGTATGGCAACCAAAATCCAACATCTGATAGTCATCATAGTGGTAACGTCCACATAACGTCAAGCTGTAACATCATTAGATGTTGAAATTTGTTTGATTTTAGGTTGGATGTTAGGAGATTGACGTCAACCAGATTTTTGTTTCCAAACAAAATGCAACACCCCCATGACATTAGGGTACAACATCAATCAGATGTCATGTTGATGTCTGGGTTATGACTAAAGTAAGAATTTGTAGTCCTGGGTCAAAATTGTCAATTTTGATTTCATTTTGACTTCAGTTGTAAGACAATATAATGATGATGATTGATTGGCGAGAGTTAAAACCCTCTCAGTATCCATCTCCTACCTTCTGACCTGTTTGAATTGACCAGTTTAAAAATATCCACGCATGAGTATCTGCTGTCAGAGAGAGTCTCATCAGTATGTGAACTGGCGTAGTCTCCGCTGTGCTCTGCATTAGCCAGAACATGTGGCCTGCAACCACAAGAGGAAGCTTCTCGCACTAAAACCAGCCAGTCCAAAACAACTCAGCTGTCTGTCAAAAGAGCTGCTCTGAAGGAGAAACGCTCAGTTGTCAGGACACAGATGCACATGTGTGAACTACATCTAAAAAAAGACTACTTGTTGAACACTTGCTGAGAAACAGGAATAAACACATGCTGATTCATCCCTTTGTTTAAGAGTTATCCAAAGCTTTGAACCTATAGTAAATCCACTGTCAAATCAGATGTTCTTATATTGGGTTTATGTGTGTTTGTAGATTATCGTGGAAACTTCCAGAGCTGTTTTCATTTTGGCGACAGTTACAGAATGGATCAGTCCATCAGCGGCGGCCATCAACCTGCAGAGTCGCACAACTTCAACCCAAACCCACACAATGGCTTTCACATGAGCTGCTCCACCAGCACCTCCTCCACAGGTACACAAACACATACACTCAAGGTGACATTTTGTTCAAGTTCTTAAGCAATAAAGGCCAATAGTGTAAATGAACATACATGAACATACTTTATATATTAAATTAAAGCTAATTTATTTCATCATATGTGTACATATTTGTAATTCAAATGGTTGAAAAAAAAAACACGAAAGTGCAAATGTTTTCGATATTTTGAAATACATGCAGCGTATATGACACTTTTTATATTTTTGATCTATTCGAAATATGAACTTGTATGTCATGTATTTTGCATATATAGCTATACATCAGACTTTTATGTGGGTTGTTATTAAAATTAATTATTTGAACTGTTGAAAATTGTTGGGATTTTGATCTCTGCTCTGTTGACTTTTGGTGTTGAAAATTCAGCTCTACACTTTAACAAAGGGACTTTTATTGACATTTTAGTTGTTTGAAATATTATAAGAAATAATGTATAGAGAAAAAAAGGATGTAAATATAATGTACTGGCAGTTTATTATGAGTTTTTTGTAATATAAAACACCAACCTAGATTTAATATCACTTTAAAGTATTAAAACTTTTAATAAATGTCACTTTTTAGTTTCCAAATGTTAAAATTGTTGGAAGAAAGACCAAGGTCTCACAATGCAAAAGCATAAAATAAAAAAATGAATCAATTATTAGGGATATTTTTACAGTGCACCCTGTAGATTTAAGCTGCACTGACAAGCTAACTGGATGAGTTTGTATCGTCCATTTTCTTACGTATGTATAAATGTACTTACACACCTTGTAAAAAAACTTTGCCGCCTAAATATTTTAGTTGAATCAAATGAACTTTGCAAGTCATCTCAAACTGACTAAAAATATTACGTTAAACTTTGAGTAAATAAACCAAAATGAGTTGAAACCTGATTAAGTTAAAGAAACAAAAAGATATGTTGGTGTGACATTTAGAAAAATCTTTGGTAACACTTTATTTTGATGGTCCATTTGAGTATTAGTAAACTGTCTGTCCGCTGTTGATACTGCTCGACAGGCATTTCAACTTGTACATGTCAACTTGCACTAACCCTAACCCCAACCTAACAGTCTACTTATAATCTAATGAGAATTAGTTGGCATGTAGATGCAATTTAATTTCAATTCAACAAACGAACCATCAAAATAGTGTGCCCAAATCTTTTTACATATATGTTTTCTGATTTTAATGAAATTATGGCACTTTTTTCTTTCTTTTCTTTGGGTAATTCAGGTTTCAGCTTGGTGCCGGACATCATAGGGTCAGGTTGCCAGTTCTCGCCAGGCACCGAGGAGAATGTTTTCTTTCAGGTGGGCGGCTTTGATCGCGGCTTGAGCCAAATGTCATCAGTGTACACAGAGACATAGAGCCAGCTCACCCGTCCACCATCAACACTAACGTCTTCATTCAGACCAAACGCTCTTATTTTATTCTACTTTCATCTATGCAGTTTCAACCTGTCTCGGTTTCTTTAGCATTCATCCTTGTTATTGATTGTATTTAAAGCCTTGTTGGATTGAAGCACCTCAATGGATCATCCATTTCCTCGACTACACAAAAAGCTGCTGCTCCACCACACCGAAGGGTCAATCATGAGAGCTCGTGTTTATTTGTAGGATGAAATTGCACTTTTTTTTCCCCAGTGTTGTTAAAAATATCCCAGTGGGCAACTTGATGTAAAAGCATCAAATCAACATCAGAAATGATGTCAAAATCTTGACATTGATGTCCTTTTGACCACCAAAATAATACAAAATGTTTTTATTCATCTGAAAGCTTCAACTACAGATTAACACTGGAGTTTGTTGGCATTATATATTGAAAATGTATCAAAAAATACATCAAAAATAGCTTCCAGGACAGTCCAGTAATAATTTTTTAATGCTGATTTGATGTCATGAAATCGATTAGCATTTTTTTTTTTTTTTTTTTTTGCAACAAGGTGCCCACTGGGATGTTGAAGGTCTCCTGAGATTCTGGCTTGTCGTCATAAAGACATCGCTAGTCTTAATAAATCCATCTGGTCAGCTCTGATCTAATTGTGACCCTGGAAGGGTTTGAACGAAACTTCAGAACGGCCGCATCTGTGCTGATCAGTGATGAGATCCACATTTCCCTCTCCCAGCTCTCGTTCTCTCATTGTGTTGGAAACAATTATTTAGTGTTGCTGTGTTTTGTCAGTGAATGTTTGCAAATGTTTGTATTGCTTTGTCATTTGGTTGTCATCATCCCATATAAACAGAGTTCTTTATTTTGTAACGGTCGATGGCTTTAATATCTACCACACTTTCAGCGTATGTATAAAATGTACAGTTTTTGTTTAATATTAATAATTATGTCAGTCTCTCGATCTCTGAAAAAATAAATGAGTCTTGAATATTGAAGTCTTGTGCTCATCATTGTACTTATGCTGCTCATAAATAAATATCATTAAGCTGAGTTTAAGTACTATAAAATATACAGAGGGCTTCAATTGCAAATGATTTGCGTATGTTCCCTTAACTTTGAAAGGTTTGTTAGAAGCTGGTCTCAAACATGATGGACTGAACAGGGAAAAAACATTTAATAAACTATTGTTAGGAAGACACTGCCCCCTTTTGGATGATAATGAACATGCCAACCTACACACAAATGCTTAATGTCACAAATAAAGGAGACCACAGCAAATACAACACGCTAATAGTGAGGTGATATATTTTATACATTTATTCAGGGCTCTACATCAGAAGAACCTCTCTTAAGTTAAATACAGTCAAATATATTTATTATGGATTATGAATCATTTGCATGGGTCAGTCAAAAATGAGTTTTTTTAAACAAAAGTTAAGTCAAGTATGGGTTGTTTGTACTTTCTTTGTACATAATTTGTCCTGTTAAATTAATATGTAAATCATAAATGTTGTCAGCAAAATAAATTTTAATTTAAGATATTATAATTGATAAATGTAGTGAGATGTATATATACAATGATCAACATTTGAAGTAGATCAAAACCTTTCCTTAAAGTTGTCCTGAAATGATCAAACAACATCTATCTATCTATCTATCTATCTATCTATCTATCTATCTATCTATCTATCTATCTATCTATTTATCTATCTATCTATCTATCTATCTATCTATCTATCTATCTATCTATCTATCTTATCTATCTATCTATCTATCTATCTATCTATCTATCTATCTATCAATCAATCAATCAATCAATCTATCTATCTATCTATCTGCAGCAGTCAGTATACTGTATATATTTGTGTATGTGTGTGTGTGCTTTCAACATGTTTAATACACTAAAATTAATTGAATTTAGACACCACAGGGTTTCTGCAGATTTCATCAAGTCAAATTTAAGACTTTTTAGGACCATTATGAATGAAATTTTAGACTCATAAAGAGTTAAAGGCTAATAATTTTTCAAATGGTGCATATGGAAAAGAATTTTATTTGCACAACCAATTTTTTTATATAATTTAATATTTAACTATATTCCAGAGATGGATCGCAGTTGGAAGGGCATACGCTGCATAAAACATATGATGGATAAGTTGGCGGTTCATTCTGCTGTGGCGACCCCAGATTAATAAATGGACTAAGTCGAAAAGAAAATTAATGAATAAATGAGTGAATATTTTACAATAATAAATTATATATAATGTTAACTAAAAAAAAGAAAAAAAAGAAGTAAATATTTGAAACAGTGTAAAAACCATCAAGTTCTACTTGTATCCATAGACTTTTTTTTCAACATGAACTTCCTTTAAAATAATAAAGTAGTTAATAAATACCTTTTTGACTAAAAAGTTTGAAGTTTTATTATGATTGGGTAGCAATACATGAACACAAGCAAATTAAGACTTGTTTAAAAAAAGATTTAAGACCTACAACACAATATTTCACTAAATTTAAAACTTTTTAAAGCCTAAAATTTAGATTTTGGGATAAGACATTTTAAGACCTCGCAGAAACCCTGCACCAAATCAAATTGGGTTATCTCAACTTTGAGCCACATTCAAGAATTACTTATTTTCATTCTAAATGCATTATTTAACTTAATGTAGGAAAAATACTTCAGTGAAATCTGACATAATATTAATAATAATAATAATAATAATAATTAAGATGAAATAAATTGTATCGTGAAAGTGCAGTTTGTGAGTGAAAGTGCTAAAGGTTTTATATTGTGCAAAATGCAATATTTGAGGGAAGTAAATGAGCTTAATCAAATTTTAATATAAGACTGCTGACCTAAGTCATTTTTCAAATTCATGCAGTCATTTTCACCCGTAAATGATCTTACGGTGGAGCCCTGGTTATATTGCTGGAGTTTATTTGCCTTTCTTGGCCTTGATCTTGCGGAGGTAAAACTCCAGCTCTTTCCCCTCCAGGATGTATCCGTCTGCTCTGCCACACTGGCCAGGCCTGGACGCAATACAAGCTGAGAAGAAAATAAAACAACGTTGAAAACAGCAAACTCAGACAGAAGCAGGGACACATTTACAGATGATTTGTCTCATGAACAACACAGAAATATGTAACAAGTGTAAGAGAGTGTAATATGCTAATAAGTGGGTTTCTTGTTGTAATGGGGCATGCCTCAAATCATCCTAAAATCAGAACATCCAGTGACTATTACAAAATCAGTAAGCGAGGATTAGGACACGTACTGTTGTTTATTTGCTTTGGACTGTGAAGTGAATGGACTTGGACTCAAGCTTATGCTGTTGAAAACAACTTTTCCCAATGGTCAGATTAGAAAAATTAAGATTATGAGTGTCAAGACTCATGCAGGGAAACTGACCGAGAAGCTTGCCCTGCAAAAACTGCTCCTCCAGCAAACTGCTGATCTTGCTCTTCTTTCTGCGTCCCTCGATCTTCTTCTGAACCTTCTTTGAGCGCTTCTTGTTCAGGATCTCCTCCTCTTCTGGAGTCTGAAGGATGAGAATATATGTGCAATTATAAAGGCAACCAGTCAGCATTTCTCTTTATTACAATCTCCGAAGTTTATCTGGGAAAAATTGTCAACCAGTATTTGATCACTTAAAAATCAAACAAGCAAGAAATAGATAGCGATTATTGAAAACGTTTTATACTAACATTTCAAACTTTTCTTTGGTATTCATACTCTGATAGAGTCTTTCTTTTGTTCACTTCACTGTGTGCAAGGGTGGCTATTTTGCACTTTTTATATTTTAGTAGTCCTCTTCATTGCTGTGCATTCATTCTGTGCTTCTTTTTTTTTTTGCACAGTGGCTGATATGTAGTTTAACCAAATTTTTTGGGTTTGTTATGTTTGTTTCTTTGCGGTATATATCCCTACAGCCCAGAGAGCTCCTATTGGGAGGAACTTACACCTTGGATAGGTTGGGTAAAGGCTAGGGTAAAGCAAGGGTGCCCAAACTCAGTCCTAGAGGCCCGGTGTCCTGCATAGTTTAGATTCAACCCCATTAAGACAAATCTTGGCTAGCCAATCAAGCTCCTAGTAGACTTGCTAGAAATGTCCTGGCAGGTGTGTTGAGGCAAGTTAAAGCTAAACTGTGCAAAACAATGGCCCAGATATGGTGTCATATTTGTGATGCTTAATGTTTTTTTTGCATTATTGAAAGGGGTCAGCTTAGGGTTGGTGTAGGTGCAAAGTATAATAATAATTCCTTACATTTATATAGCGCTTTTCTGGACACTTAAACCACTTTACACATTTTTGGAGGGAATCTTCTCATCCACCTCAAGTGTGCAGCATCCACCTGGATGACGTGACGTCAGCCAAATTGCGCCAGACTGCACACCACACATCAGCTGATTGGTAGAGAGGAGAGGAGTGATGAAGCCAATTATGATATGGGGATGGTTAAGAGGCCATGATGGACAGAGGCCAGAGGGCAGATTTGGCTAGGATGCCAGGGGTCAGAACCTCAGTTTTAACGTCTCATCTGAAAGACGGTGCTTACTGAGCAGTATAGAATCCCCTTCACTATACTGGGGCATTAGGACCCACACAGACCGCAGGTTGGGCGCCCCCTGCTGGCCTCACTAACAACACTTCTGGTAGCAACCTATCTTTTCCATGTGGTCTCCCATCAAGGTACTGACCGGGCGCAGCCCTGCTTCCGTATTTTGTGATTTACCAGTGATTTAAGTTAATTTACGGTTGTGAATCGCATTATGGAACCATGATTTCTGCTCTGTCGACTTTTGATGTTGAAAATTTAACTCTAGAGATTAAGTAAGTGAATTTTATCGGCAGTTTGAAATAATTTAATGAATAAGAAATAACATACAGAAATAAGTCTGTAGGATAGCAGGAAATGTCCTCATGTTTTTTTGCACTGTAATATACAACACCAACTCAGACAATATATCACTTTAAACTATCAAAAATGTTAATAGAACTCACTTTTTTATACTTTGCAAGGTTAAAAGTTGTTGGAAAAAAGATTAAAGGCCCATAATCCAATTCAAAAGCATGAATAAACAGGAAAAAATAAAAATGTAAATCACAAAATACGGAAAACGGCTAATTTACGAATATTTTTTCAATGTAGTTAATGAAATGTCATTCCTAATTTCAGTAATTTCATTCCTGACTGAAAAAGCATTACATGTACAGTCAATGAAATATGTTATGGGTATGTTTAAATTGCAGGCTTGTCAGGATTCCACTAGGCATCTGCAGTATTTTGATTGGTTACTTCTTTACACACACACACACACAGACACACACACAGACACACACACAGACACACACACACACACACAAACGCACCCACACGCACCCACACGCACGCACACACAATGCTCAACTTTGCATTAACAATAGTTTCTGTGGCTTAACTCCAAATGCAAATGCAAACTCCTAACCAAACATCAAAACTTGTCACATGAGAGCTTGAGGTTTTGGAAAATCTCCTGTCATTTCTGTGCAGTATGCATGAGATGCCTGGCACTCTAAAAATAGACATGCACATCTATTTATACTGTGCTCTGTAAATTGAAGCCTACCAGCTTCGCTCCTTTCTTGCGGCCCAGAGGAATGGCGTAGTGGGCTTCATACCACTGCCTGTACGGCGCGCTGTCCACCAGAACAATGCAGTTCTTCACCAGGGTCTTGGTTCTCACAAGCTCATTGTTGGAGGCATTGTACACAACGTCAATGATCCTGGTCTTGCGAGTACAACCTGTGTGTTATAACGACAAAATTAGACGTGCTTTTAATTCTGAGAGCTTCCAGAGTCTAATTTTTTTTACCAATGTCATGTTTAGATTTGGTTACGAAGAATAAATAATACCCATGGCATAATGTACGCCATGTGTAAAATAGAAAAATGTCCATGCGGCTCAAGAGACATACATTTAAGAACAGGTCGATTCAACAGATGTCCCTGTTCGAGCAAAGCGTTTTGTTAAACAGTAATGAGTTACATCAGAAGCTTCATGCTAAATTTATGAGAAAATTTCCAGGCACCACTTCCATGATCTCAGTCTAAAGGCATCTCATGGTTTTAAAACTTCTAAATGCACTGACACACAAACTCAGTGTCCTGACAACCAATAAAAATATTGGGTAGCAAGACATTTGGAAGGGCTACAGGTGGGAAAATATCCCAAAAACCAACCAGTCTGTCAGTCTATTATATAAGAAGTTTGTGAGTTTGCTGACAGCTCGGTCACTCCTTCAGTAGACCAATCATTTCTCATTTTTAGTGGACTTCTTAGGTCAAAAATAAAGCCATACAACAAAGTTTGTCAGTTTGTAGACTTATAACCTAAAAAAAAACATTGTAGAACATCTACATTAATTGAAAGATTATAAATGTAAGCAAATGTTTATTTTTTATTGTTAAGTAACAAATTACAAATACTCAAATTACTGTAATTGAGTAGTTTTTCTTAGGAATTTTAATTTACTAAGCAGTTTTAAAAATGTGTACTTTTACTTTTTCTTGAGTAAATTTTTAGTGCACTATTGATACTTTTACAAAACTACTTTACTTCAACCTGCAGTCACTACTTTATTTTTTCTTGTCTATGGGGATTAGAAAAATCAGTCCGGTGATTTCCGTCCAATCAAATCGCACATAGAAGGTAAATCGCATCATAATGAACTACCTCAAGACATGGGCGATTTATAATTCCAGCAAACTGTTTGGAAGCATTAAAACTGTCCAAGAAGACGTCCAAAATCTTTACACGCATTGACCCAGAGACTGTTTAGATGCATTTCAATAAGAAGAAGATGACAGATGTTTACTGTATGATGACCGAAATGTTCTTAAGCACCCTGCAGGCACAAGACATGACGTCCGATTGACATTGTATGCCAACGTCATGGGGACGTTGCATTTTGTTTGGAAATGAAAATTGCCTTTAAATCAGAACCCAACATCAGGCTGACGTCAATATTCAACGTCCAACCTAAAATCAACCAAATATCAAAGTTACAGCTTTACATTGTGTGAAAGTACCACTATGACGTCTATCAGATGTTGGAAGTTGGTTGCCATACCTGACGTCAATATGACGTTGGTTTAAGATGTTGGCTCAACGTTGGATTTTGGTCAGTTTCTAACACAACCTAAAATTATTCAAATATCATCGTTATTTGATGTAATTATTGGACATCAAAATAATGTTGTCCTTAGACGTTGGCTAGACATTGAATTTAGGTGACCTCAAAAACCTAAATCTAACATAAGATTAACATCTTATGCGTTGTGTGCCTGTTGGGCAATAACTAAATGTACTACAGAATGCTACGTTTACATCCACAAATTACATGTAAATGTATCAGCTTTTTACAGCAAAATACTCTTTACTCACTATTCTCGAGTATTTTGAGTACTACTCATACTTTGAGTAATATTTACAACAGGTACTTTTACTCTACTTGCACTGTATTTTTAGGCAAGTAATGGTACTTTAACTTAAGTATGATTTTTCAGTACTCTTTACACCACTGATTGTAAGCACACCAAATTACAATTACAAAAATGAAAACTTGCAATTTATTCTTTTTTTTTCTGTTGAACACAAAAGACTAAATTTTAAAGATGTTAGAACAACTAACATGTATAGCAGGGAGGAAACATGCAAGATAATGGTGACCATCTTCCTTCATCCTTCAAAATATCTTCTTTTGTGTTCACAACAGGTTTGAAACCAGCATTTTCATTTTCAAACTATCACCTAAAATTTGCTTGCTTAAATAAAACGAAAAACTTTTAGATTTATTTATTTGATAATTGTTTATTAACAAAACACCTAATACTAAACTAGTTGGTCGAATCTGGAAGGAAGGAAGCAAGGAATGACGGAGGGGAAGAAGGAAGAAATATAATGGACAGAGATGCTCACTCACATTCTGAGCCCCAGGAGAAGTTTCCGCTGTCCAGCCTCAGTGCACGGTATTTCTTATTTCCTCCACGCACGCGCACCGTGTGAATACGGCGGGGGCCAATCTAAAAGGTTTAAAGATAATTACAATTGTTTATTTGATTTCTGCTGTTCATATTGTGTGAAACAGTTTTGTAATATAGACTGTCTCTCTGCATAACATATCCATGTATAGCAAGGTCTAAACTCAATTCCTGAAGGGCCGCTGCTATGCGTAGTTTAGCTCCAACACACACCTGCTTAATAGTCTCTAGTAGTCTTGAACACCTTGATTAGTTGCATCAGCTGTGTTTGATTGGAGTTGGAGCAAAACTGTGCAGAGCTGCAGCTCTCCAGGAATCAAGTTTGAGACCCATGATCTATAGATAAAGAGACGTGTAGTAGCCTAACGAGTTCTACTAGAGCAGAGGTGTCAAACTCAGTTCCTGGAGGGCCACAGCTCTGCACAGTTTAGTTCCAACCCTGCTTAAACACAATAACCTGGAGGTTTAAAACAAGCCTTAAGGGCTCAATTAGTTTGGGTTAAGACAAAACTATGTAGAGCTGTGGCTCTTCAGGAACTGAGTTTGATGCCTAGAGTAAAGTATTACACCTTTGTGTTTGCTGGAGGCCGACCCAACTCATACTTTCTTTTCTTATGGTACGGCTTCCGTTTTCCTCCGGTTTTACGACGCTTGTGCCAGTGATCCCTGGAGATTCCTGAAGAGAACAGATACCAACAGAATAAATAAATGAGTTCAGTGTCATTATGGTTTGGATAAAGTGAAATTATGAATAGACCTTGTTATTCTTTTTATCTATTTCAATGTAAGCTACAAACTGTTTAGGCTAGGTCAGTCTGTCTTGACGATGTTATTGTTATTTTCAGTATCTAACGTAGAAGGAAGCGTTGTATCTGCGCATTGCAACTGTCGCAGATATTGAGCTGCGAAATACCAGTGCTGGATATTTTTGATGGTTCAGTACATTCCGATCATGATTTTCACTACTGTTAGTGGTGGAAAAACAAATACAGGGAGAGCTAGACATGTAATAGTTTCTGGATTAGCAATAAGAACCGCCATTATGCTATGCTGTTTATTCATACACAAAAGCACTAAATCACGTTTATATGTCCATAACATGATCTGACATTTATGTATTGGACGATGTCGACAATGCTGACAGAACTGCGTATTGAAGCTATTCCCTTATAAATACTTACCCATTCCTGGGTCGCTTTGAGGCTACAATTTGCCGTGTTGCCAGGTCATTGAAGCAAAACCCTTTCAACTGAAAATATAAATTTTTCAAATCGCTATCAAGTGGTTCGTTTGGTGTCCTCGACGGATGCTTTTGCACTCTGTATGCGAGTTCCACTTAGTTAAATCCGCTAATCTAATTTAAAACGGATCTTTTCAAAAACAAAAATAGAGAAACATAGTTGAAAATAAAGGACTTGGCAACACGCTGCCTGTATCCTTTCAGTACTCCCACGTGTACACATGGTGCCATCTAGTGCCAGTCACTGGTATTAATTGACAATTTAGACAGCAGAAGGCTGAAAAACAATCTGACCCATCATAGTGACTTAAAATGACATTACACTTTATTTACATTCAAGTTATTTTGGTTTTGATAATGTAAGCTGGACATTTCACCTCTCTCCAAATGCAAAAAGCATAAGTAGCATATATCCCTGAAAAATTACCTTTACATACTATATCTGATATGAGGTCAGCGGTTTAACAAATCCTTTTAACCCTGAACACTAAAGAACACCAAGAATGCAGTAATGGAATGTGTAAGGGGATGCAGCATTTGTCTATTCCTCTCCCCAGCGTGTGGCTCAAATGCTGTTAAGACTTCTTGCTCTTCCTCTTTATGTAGCTCTGGTAGTAAAAGTTGCTGAAAAGTATGATGAGACTGACACAGTAGGCAAACACAACTGCATTCATGGAGTCAGGAAATTCACACTCAGTGAAGAGGTTGTATCCAGTGTGAACAGTCAGCAAAATAAACTGGACCTGTAATGAGATGTGGTTCATATTAATCTACCAACTAATCTCTATTGAAGCAATTTATTTTAAATCGATGTAAAATTGTTAATAAATGAGGTAAAAGTGGTTTTTTTTTATGTATGAATGGACTAAAATTAGCCAGATTAGCAGTGTGTGTATGTACATGTGTGTGTCTTGTGTATACCAGCTGCAGTGAGGTGAGATAGCGCTTCCACCACAGATATTTCTGCAGATGAGGGCCCAGAGCTGCCAGACCATAGTAAGAATACATCCAAATATGAACAAAAGTGTTCAGCAGCCCTATAAAAAATGCTGAAACAATAAAATGACAATATTCTGTTTTTAGAAATGCACATGTCATATTATGGGTTTAATATACACTCACCAGCCACTTTATTAGGTACATCTGTCCAACCACTCATTACATTCGGAGGGTGAGCCACAGCCTACCTGTATATTGTTGCTGACCATGTCTATCCTTTTATGACCACAGTGTACCCATCTTCTGATGGCCACTTCCAGCAGAATAACACTCCATGTCAAAGCGCAAATCATCTCCGACTGGCTTCATAAACATGACAATGAGTTCACTGTACTCAAATGGCCTCCAAAGTCACCATTTCTCAATCCAATGGAGCACCTTTGGGATGTGTTGGAACAAGAGATTCGGATCATGTATGTGCAGCCAACAAATCCAATAGTATCTGGATGCAGCCTTTGTGATGCAAGCTGAGACTGCATCACTCAGCGATGCAATGTCAGAAACAATGCACTCAATTGGAGCTAGTGACGTCACTGTGACGGGTACAGTTAGGGGTGGGGTTAGGTGAGCCCATTAAAAAGCATTGGATGTAGCCCAGATTGCACTGCACCAGGTCTGCAGGCAGACCCCTCTCAACAAATCTGCAGCAACTGCACGATGCTATCATGTCAACATGGACCAAAATCTCTGAGGAATATTTCCATGACCTTGTTGAATCCATGCCACAAAGGATTAAGGTAGTTTTGAAGGCAAAAGTGGGTTCAATCCAGTACTAATAAAGTGGCCAGTAAGTGTATATATGTTTTATAAATATCCAATGATAATCCATGTATTTCAGACTTACATTGCCCTCCTGCCACATATTTAACTCCTGCCCACCAATTGAAGATCATTGTTCCATGATGATACACATGAAGAAATGTGAGCTGGCTATTCTTTTTTCTTAGGATGAAAAAGACCTTTATGTGGAAGGTTAAAAAAAGAATCATTCACTGAGTCATGCCTATACACCTGATATAAATCATTGTGATATTTATTTTTTTTACATTTGTGAAACTTACTGTATCACTAAGCTCAATTACTTTAGAGAAGAAAAACCACCAGCACACATTGGCCATCTGAAAAAGTCAAATAAAAAACAATGTTTGGTAAAGACAAAGATAACACTGTATGCTCATTTTATTTTCAGTACAAAATATAGTTCAAAATATTACTGAATTAAAAAGAAACGAGACAATCACCCTCATTCCCAATGGACTGGTGCTGTAGTCTACAGGCTGACATAGGTAGCTGTAGTTTGCCAGCCAAGATGTGACAAGGAACTGTGGAAAGAAACGATACTTTGTTGGTAAAAGGTCATGATGAGGACACGCATCTTCAATATTCTCAGACTGAATGACTTGATTATTGAAAGCAAGACCTTGATGGTAGGATAACCAACCTGAACTAATGGAGTAATGTATAAAATGCATTATTTACCTCATGGAACATGTATACAGACAAACCAACCATGGAAAAGTTGTACACAATAAGCAGTCCTTTTAGGTTCACTGGTTCCATGTTTTTCATAAGCTTGGGTCCGATCCAAATAACACCCAGATAACATAAAAATATACAGATGATCGGTACAGGAGAGTAGACTAGTAGCCATGGGTCAGTCCGCTTGTCTGAAACATGACAGCAAGCAAAAGCTTTGCACCTCAGGGGTTTCAACAAATTTATGTTCATATTCTGTGATATGTTTTTATGTACTGTTATTAATTATTTTGTATAACTAGTTGGTCGTAGTTAATTTGATTAAAAAATCATTCTTAATAAATAAATCTTACCCCCATTCTCTACAATCCACTTGTGCATGGATTCCAGTCTCTGCCATGCGGATTCCATTGAGAACTCTACTACAGAACTTCATTATTAAAGACACAGGCAAGACCACAATTACACAACACGAAAAAACACGATGGAAATGCAGTCAATTCTGATAAAAACATGCTAATTATTGATGCGGTGTACACTGTGCGTGAATTTTGTTGTTGTAGTTGTATATGGATGAATCCATGTTTTGTCAACCGTTTGCATTATCATAAATGTACCGGTGAACTTACCTGTGGAGGAGTCTAAACGATCGATACCGCACTGTGTGGCTGTTCTAATCAATCGCACGGTCAGATGGGAACTTTGAACAATTTTGTTTGAGTAACACGGAAAATTGTGTGTTATCAGTTGTAATGCAGAAGTACACAGATCTATTTGGAAAGAAAACTTTGGACTGCACCCGTTTTCATTTCAACTCAGATGCGCAGTTAAAAGTCTCTGTTGTGTAGTAAAATTAAGCATGACTCCCAATGCAATATGGCGGCGAAAATAATAATAATAATTATTATTATTATAATTACGACACAAAAAAGAAATTAAACGTGTTTTAGAGCCGTAAAGCCTCGACACGTGTTGTATTGAAATATTAACAGGTGGGAAAGAAGAAAATGGACTCTTATTTTGACAACCCAGCATTAGACAGAAAAAGGCGTTCAGGGCGCAGAGAATTGAAAGAGCATGACCATAATTTAATTATTCTGTCTGACAACGTGCTGTTAAATAAATAATATTAAGCTTGAGTAAAGGGATAGTTAACAGAAAACGTTTAATTTACATTTCCTCCACTTGTTTCAAAACATTGACTTTCATAGTATTTTTTCTACAATGGACGTTCATGGCTACTTTCTCCCAAACATTCTACAGAATATCTAATTTTGTGTTAAACCGAAAAAAATCTTAAAAGTTTTGAACCACGATGAGGAAACTTACATTCTATACGTTTAAAGGCAGATTATATACTCATATGAGATCAAGGCACATTTACACATTTATAAAAGACAATTTTGAGGGATATAAACAATAACAATGGTCTTTACCTATTTCCTGTTTTACATTTTTAATTTCCATAACTTCCGAGAATCCAAAACGGTCCACAAACTGATAAATAATATGATATAAAAATATGTTATGATAGCTGATTTAACATAAAGGTATGATTAAATCGTAGTATGATAAATAGGAAATATGCATGGGCCAATGACATCACTGCATTAAAATGGCATATAAACGTTTATTCTGGACAATACTACATCCTATAACAATTTATTTTTAAAGAAAATATACATTTATTTACTTTAAAAACACCTAATATAAATGCCCGTTCTCCGTAATAAAACAGTGCTGCAGATGTATTATACAGTATGATAATATACATCATATGAAATAATATAAAAATGTACATGATGATTATACAAGATGTAATATCCAGACCAACAGTTCTTAAGAGCATTTGCTTTTAACTGTTGTCTTTGAGGTAGAGAAGAATTTACTGAGGCAGAGTTGTTTGGGTCCTACATTAGTAGCAGCATCTTTGGGCTTTTTTATTTTGTTTGACTGTTTCTCAGGGCCGGCTTTTCTCTTCTTTCCCTTAAAAAGTATAAAATATGATAAGATATGAAAGTAATTTTAAAATCAGTAGCATATGAATATGAAATCAAATAAATACTTAACAGAACAAAAAATAAAGTGCATGCAAACTCAGAAAAAACCAACCTTGAGGTCCAACTTGCTGGAAGATTCATAGAGCTTCATAATCTGAAATTAAATTTAAATAAAGACTTTAAATAATTAACATTAATTCAAAAAATGTGTTGACATTAACCAACATTAATCAGCATTTTTATTGCATCAAATTTGCGATTGTTTTTTTAAAGCTAATTTTAAAGTATAAATAAAAAATTAAAAGTATAGATTTTAAAGTTTTTTTTTTCTGTGACACCAATTTCCACTGTCGGGCCAGTGCAAGCCAGGGTTTTTAATCAGGCCGCGCCATGCCAATAGCCTGTGAGAGAGAGCAGTGAGGCCAAAATCATGTCACTTTTCCACTGTCGGGCCTATACAGAATATTCCCCGAATCAAACATCACACAACCCGCTCAGTTCAGCAGGATCCAGGCAGATAAAGCACACCACTGCATCATCATTAAACAATTAAAACAAACAACGATAAACCAAAACAAACAAATGACATGTTACTGTAAAGCATTAAATTATATATCAATACGCATAGGCCTATGTATTTTCATTCAATATATTTCTTTACTCGCCGACTGACTGTTTGCATCATACATCGAGTGGTCTTGCCACTAACAGAGGGATGACCCGGCATACCATCCATAACATAAAGCCACAGAAATTTTCCAGCAATAACTCTGTATAAAAATGTATTTTATAACATCCTCATTTCGGTAGGTGCCATCACACATTCAGCCCAAATCCTCCAGAGAGACCTAAATCATACACATTTTTCCCTAGGCTAAAGACAATAATTGAAGACAATAATCTAAGGATGTTGCATATTATTTGGTTATCTTAAATAAAGCAAACAGTTAAGTGTTTCAGGACATAAAAGCAAGTAATAAAATATAGGCTATAGCCAGGGTCAGTCGCAATCTGCGGATGTTTTTTGCTATTTCTGTGGAGAATTTTGGTAAAAATCTGCGAATTTCAGCTGAATTATTTTGGGAGTATCCAGCGGAGTATGATAACTAAAACCTTAATATATATTAAATAAAAAGTAATAAATTACTGAATAAAAACTGAATAAATTCAGATTTACAAGTAAATAAACAGAATTTATAATAGGCTAAAAATCTGCAGAAATCTGCGGAATTCTGTGGAAATCTGCGCGTGCAGATTCCGTGTGGGCCTACATATGTAGCTCTAGCATACATGTATATGCATCAAAACACACATTTCATGCAAAAACACACCTTTTGAACTTGATAAAAACCCTTGACAACTGAAAGTAAATGGCTGCTGTGTCTTTAATATGGTGTAAAGATTATTATTCATTATTGAAACAGCAAGGAGGATGCAGCAAAGAAATATCACCTAGTTAAATTAAAACTACTTTATTATTTTATGCAATACCAACAATTTGAAAGGGAAACATAAGGGCGATCATAAGCCCCAAAGCCTATAAGGTGTTTTATGGAATAGCCTATCTTAACCAGCTATATGTTTTTTTTCCCTTATTTATTATTATTATTATTATTATTATTGGCACATGTACTCATGTGTGATTGGAAAACTAGTGTAATCTTTACCAGACTGGGACAAACTCCGCCTCTTTGGCCCAAGGTATTCGGCAGGCCGAAAAAGGCCGGCAGCTTGCCCTGAGGAAGCCTCGTTTTGAACCGATCAGGCCCCGGAAGTGACAGTAGAAACACAACTGGCCCTGGCTCGCCCTGGTATACTCGCTTTAGGCGCGATAGTGGAAACTAGGCTAATGAAAACACACTCAACCTTTTTAACCCCAGTGGACACAGCTGCCTTCTGCAGAGCAGATTTGGTTAGCCAGCAGGTCTTCTGCTTTTGCTCTCTGTCTGAGCAATCAGAAACATGAACCGAGAACACAATGTAGGTTTGATGGATGTGGGAGAAAATATGCACCACCTGACAGACGACATAAAAGATGTGGATGAATATCAAACATGCGCACTGTAACCAAACATGCACACCAAAGAGATGAATCATACATTTGCTCAATGCATTTTAATCAATTTGAAACTATTCTGAACCCAAGAAGATATAGATGTCGAGAAAACACACACACACCTCTCCCACAAACTGCACTGAGTGAGTGTCCAGGGGTGTTTCCAGCCATTTCTGCATCATGTCACATATCAACTCTTTATATTTATTTTCAGAGATGTCAGCTTGCAAAAGCACACTGGGTAGCTCCCACATCCCAGCCAGGAGTCCTGTAAAAAAAAAAAAAATGAACACATGCAAGTAAGTTCATGTCTAGTTCATCCCATTATAACAGTAGTTTTACCTTTGCTTGGCCTCTGGGTGAGCAGGTACTCCGACTCTTCTCCGGCTCGCTGATGCTCCACTATACAGGTCAGTGTTTGTTCCACACGTGGAGCCTTTTTAACAGGCTTTCTGGGATAATTCTGTACCCCCAGCTGAGGGTCCCAGTCCTCTGACAGACACAAGTTACAGCTGCCAGCAGACACTGTTAAAGAATGTGAACAGATATTAAACAGTGCATTCGGTCTGATGAACTGATGATTTTAGACCATTTACTTACTACAATTCTCTATATCAGGAACAGGGTTTTTGGGATTTGTGGCAAGTTTATTTAGAAGTCTTTTGCAGTCCATCTCTTGTTTCATGCTTATCTACAGTATATAATAAGAACATTGTTATAAAATAGGCAAGGTTCCTCATGAAGTGTGTGGTGAGAGTTGCTGGATAGTACCTTCTTGAAAGCATGACAGTGGGTCTGAATGGGACACTGACTGCACACAGGGGATTTTGGGGTGCAGACTCTGGCTCCTAACTCCATCATAGCCTGATTAAAGTCTCCTGGTCTCTCTGGGTCAACAAGTGCATCTGCAATTCTCCTGAAATACAATTTAGTTTAACTTATAGTCAAAATTTTTTTTTTCTTTTTCAAATATTTCCTAAATTATGTTTAACAGAGCAAGAAATTTTTTACAGTATTTTCTATAATATTTTTTACTTCTGGAGAAAGTTGTACTTGTTTTATTTTGGCTAGAATTAAAGCGGTTTTACTTAAAAAAAAAAAAAAAAAAAAACTATTTTAAGGTCAATATTATTAGACCCCTTAAGCAATTTTTCTACAAAACGCAGATAAGCCTTTAAAATTTTAAATTGCACTTTATGCTGAATATTAGTATCTCAAAATATCTAGTAAAATATTATGTACTGTCATTATGGCAAAGTTAAACAAATTAGTAATTAGAAAAGAGATTATTATGTTTAGAACAAGGTTTCTGCAGGTTCCACAAAGTTTAATTTAAGACTTTTTAAGACATTAATTAAACCATTATAAATGAAATCTTAGACTCGTTCAGAGCTAAACGGTAAGGAATTTTTTTAATGGCCCATATGGAAAATATTTATATCTGCCACATAACATTTTAAATATTGTGTCAAAAGCAAGCTCTAGTTGTAAACATACACTTTTGTTCAACACACACTTTCTTTAAAATAAAAATTGACAAATGTTTTAAAAACTATAATAAACTAAATGAGCACAACACACTGTCCAGGTTAGTGATCTCAGCTGTAAAAACATGGATAACTTTTAAACCAAATTTAGTGTAAGGAAAACAATTAAACGTTAAATAGATAAAATTTACATTTTTAAATAAAGTTGAAAGTTTTATTGAGATGGATTGTTGACGATTGGGATGGGTGTTGGCCTGATTCAGTAGCTATAAACGAGCAA